TGTCTGTCTGTCTGTCTGTCTGTGACTTCTTTGGGGATGTTGCTGGCAAGTAGGGGGTTGGGCCTTGTTCCGGGCGATGCCTGGAAGGACTCACCGATGTGAGGTGTCATGACTTCGACCGGGATGTCCGAATTGAACGTGGCAGCCTGACATTGTACCCTGATAGGCCGGCTTAGATGCGTGAATCTTGCGAGAGCTTTCAGGGTTGCTGTTGTGAGTCTCAGGGAGAAACCCGAGCTTGGCAGGCCTCCCAGTGTTATCAGCCAGTTCCACAATGGGCAGGTGTAGCACAGTCGGAGCGTTATCGCAAAGTGTGCTGAGGCCATGGGCTGAACAAAGAAGCCGTTGTGACATTGCACGTGAAGCCTACGAGGCCGGCAACTTTTGGTTTCAAAGATGCTGAAGATTCCGATCGGATCCCAATATACACCCTGCACCCCCAGAGTTGCGTGGAGTGGTCTGCGCCTGTGAGGAATGATGTGAAACCCAAAAGCCTTGAACAGCTTCAGTCTCGGCTGTCAAAGCTGTCAGAGGACCGACAGACTGACAGATTTGTCGGGCTTACATTTTAATGTGTTCTTGTTGCCTTTCTGTGGGGGGTCTGGTTTGTCGAGGAGTTTGGTGGCAAGTTCATCTCCTATGACATGGAAAAGTGGATCTTCAGGGTTCCACATTTCAATCGTTGAGTTCGTGCCTTTGTTCAGCAGACCTTGAGAAAAACAACAAAAGAATTAACCCTTTGAACTTGACAAATGTGGCTAACATGAGCAAAGTCCTTTTCCGCAAGACTTGGAATACTCGAACACTTTCGAAAGCAATGTTCCAATTGTCATCTTTTTTCCTGAAAATTCTATTGGTCTGCTGAACAAGGAATTCCTCGGCAGCCCCTAGGCGTTCTTTGCACCAGTGTGGTGACTTGAGCCGCTTAGCCCCACTGCGCCTGCAGATGCTCTTGCTCCGATCTTTTACTTGTCAGCCCCGTACTGAAACAAATACCCTGCTCAAGCCTTGAATTTGGAAACTGCGTTTCAGAGGTAATTGAATGACTTGGTTTCCTTGGTCTTGCTAGCGATTGGAACCACGCCCAGGGGCCCAGAGAGCAAATTCTAAACTCAGTGTTGTGGCACTGGACTTGTCCAAGGGCCTGAGGGAGCAATACAGAGCATCTAGCTAGAAGGCTGCAGAAGCACACGGTTTCAGTGTGCATTGGCATGCTTGGCAGTGTAGTCAGTCACTCAGGGGAACCTCTGTGCCATGCTTGGCTCACCTATCGGAGGTCAGACAGCTTAATAGATTGTGCACATCATTGCATCAAAATGGCCCAATTCAGACTATTGTCCTTCCACCTGCAGCGCAATGGAAGCGGCGCCTACGCGTGTGCAGTTGCGTTTGTGCTGCATTTGCATGCGCTGGGACCGCTGGGAGGTTGGAAAAAGGTGAGCACAAGAGAAGGCTTATAAAACATGAAACACGGCCCGAAAAGCATTCCTAAAAAGCACTGCAAGTCCATCCACTCTTTGTAGACGAAGCAGTGTTGGCTATCTGAGCATCGGCTGGCTAGTGTGAGGGCGAAAGATTACATAGAGGGGCTTAGCGTCCGGAGCGTTTAAAACAACACATTGCTATAGGCTATGGTGTTCATTCTGGGTCACCGTCATGGCATTTGTTTTGGCGCGATCTTTCTGAAGCGATGAAGTACCTTAATTTTGCACCAGAAGTTGACCAGAAGGGTCGCCAATTGGCTTGTCGTGTGCTTATGTAGTTGGAGACACGATCATAATAGGGCCCCTGGTTTTCTGCTTCTTCGTGCGTTTTCGAGCTGACTGTGTGCGTTTTTGAGGTTACGGTGATGAGGTTGATGTTATAGTATTGATATTAAGACGTTAGTTTAGACTTTCTTGGGGGGGTGGTGGGGGGGGGGGGGGGGTGGGGGGGTAATGACGTCCATGTTACAAGAATGTTTGATGAACTATTTAGACGTTACATGGGGTGTGGGGGGGGGGTGGGATAATGACGTCCATGGGGGTGATGATATTTTGAATTTTCATGGGGGTTCGGTTGAGGTTGTTGATGGATACGTTCTATGCCGACATTGTATCTCACCTACTGCAAGTTTTGGCTTCGACGATGACGGTTTCGGATGTTTCGACGGTGTTGTGTTTGGTTTTGTTGTTTCGTTTGTGTGGTGTTCGGCAACCGCCTCAAACAGATTTGGAGTGTTTGGGAACCCTTTTTCGTGTTAACGTTTTTTACGTTAGATCAATATATTGATATTTTCACGACCCCTCTGTTGGATGACACATTGAACTTTGTTGTGCAAACATGTTTGATCTCCGAACGTTCTTGGGTAGATTGGGATCTGATTGGGATCTTATAGCGACTTGCAGAGCACCGATCTGGATAAGCATCTAGGCAATCGATCTACACAGTTGCATACAGATGGTGCACGTGCGTGGCCACGCTGGGCCACAAACCAAGGCAAGAAGCAGTTGGCAAGTTTCCATGTCAGTCACAACAAGCATGAATTTGCCAAGAAAGTCAAGTGCAGGAAGCGTCCAGGATTTGTTGTCTCCGGCACGCAATGTGTCGACCGATGGTGGCAAAGCTTGGAGAAAGCTGTGCCTAAGACACTCAAGGTGAAAGACCGCAAAGGGGGTGGCATCTCCGAGCGCCTGATGAACTACGTTTACGCTTTCGTTTGGCGCTCCAACTTAGATGCCGATGTAGACCTGACCAGAGCACTCGGGAGCCTCTGAGAAAAGTCTTTGCGGCAACTACTTCGGCCGTCGAAACGAACCACCGCTGAAACGGGTACGAAACTCTGATATTTACACTATAAAATGCTCATTGGCTTCCCAAAACACAGGTAATTCACCTACTTTTCAAACACTAAGGCCTCAAAACACTGAAAGGGTTCACAAAAACGAACATGCCCACGAGACGAAAGCCTCAAAAGCAAGAGGCCCTAATAAGAACGTGTGACCATGTAGTTGGTTGGCTGCTTGGTTGGTTGCTTGCATGTCCTCAGCTAGGTTATACATATATATATATATGAAATATACTTGCCTTGTTCATTGCTGGCCTAATGAAAGAGACCTCCTCGACGAAGTGCAAAATCTCTATCACAGCAACCAACTAGCAAATTCAATTGCCTTCACAAGCAGGATTAAACGCGCCAGACCTAGATGAAAGTCTTTCAAACTCAGAAGTGAAGTTGCTGAAGCCTTCCAATACCCTCCGCTTGAATGCGGGCTGTGCTCCACCCAGTCCCCCTAGGAAGACTGATTGCGCTTGCATAGGTCTTGCATCTCTTTGGCAGTTTCTGTTTCGTTGATTGCTTGGTAGCTCTGTTGGGTATATAGATTCAGTAGAAAAAAGGTAGGTAAATTGGAAGGGTGGTTGGTTGGCTGATTGCTTGTTGGCATGTTTGTCTTTTTGCTCGGCTAGCATGCTTGCTCCCTCGCTCGCTCGCTCGCTCGCTCGTTCGCTGGCTTGCTTGCTTGCTTGCGTGCTTGCTTGTGCATGTTAAGAAATATTTTTCCATTGCGAAGGGTTCTCGTTTCTCGGGCGGAAACGTGTTGGCGTGACGTTGCTTTATTTGCAACCGCCCGCAACGCGTAGAAACGCAAAAGGTTGAAGTGTGGAGGATGATTTTGCCGCTCAGGTGGAGCGTTTGGCGAGGTCTGCAGTTTGCGTCGCTGTGCCATTCAGATTGGCGTTCGCAGGGTGGTTGTCTGGGGGTGGCGTTGGGATATGCCTTTAAAGAGCTTGCCTCAAAGTTGTGTTTCTTGACAAGCAAGTCTCAGGTAACATTGCGGTTTTGGCTGATATCTGCGTGCTCCGAAAGTGCGCAAGTCATTCCCGACATCTAGTGTTGCAAGTTTTCCTAGACATGTCAAGGTGGGGCATAGTCACTTTTCGTGGCAGACGCAGTGCTTTGTGTGTGTGTGAAACTCTTGGAGTCATAGGGAACCTTTCGGGTAATTAAGGTGCAGGGGGCAGTCGCCCGCTCATGAGTCTACTGCCAACGAAACTGCTCATGAGTTGGGAGGGTATGAGAGGTGATCGCCCCGACGTACCTGCAGTCCAATTTGTGGTGTTCCCGAGCTGTTACTCCAATCTTCTCTTGAAGGGCTAAGGCACTCCTGCAGATGTGAGCGGTCGTCGTCATCCTGTCGCTGTCGTCCGCCTTGCGAGAATTTTGAGATCCTTGGATGTCGTGGTGGTTTCGTGGTCACACCGTCTTACATACTTCTACCCTGACTTCTTTGGCTTTCATACCTAGGTGGGCGTGTGGCAAGTGGCTTTCAGTTCCGTACGCGTTTCTCGTGTGTGTCTGGCTTCGTACCAGCCGGCTTCGCCACCTCTTGGCTTGGTTCTGGGCATGAGGTCGGGACAACCTTTGTTGGCTGTGATGATGAAGCCAATGATCTCAAGAACCTCGCCGTGTGCAAGCCAATGTGAATTATTAAAATACTAAACTATATTAGTAGGTTATTTGAGTGTGGTGACTTGCAAGAGATTCAAAGCTTTCTTGCTTACTGAAAAGTGTGTTGTATGTAATGATGGTCACACTGGAATGGAACACGTGACGTCAAACTGTCAATTGTGAGGCCTCTTCCTCTTAGCAGAAACGCAATGGTCCTGAGCGGGCCGTTGGCTTGCAAACACTCAATGAACAAGACCTCAAAAACCTCAACATCAAACAGCCACCATAAAGCGATGAATGTCTGCGGTACCATACTTGGGGACCCCTTCCTCGACCCTCTTGTCTACATAGCGATGTCATTGGCCAAATCCGCCTGCCGTTGGCCGTTGGCCGCTTTCCCCAAACAGACTGAGCGCGTAGCTTTGGACTGACCATTCTGACCTTTCTGCCCGACTCTTAGAAAACAGCTTTTCTTGCTTCCCCATACGGGTGTGTGTGAAGCCCTTGGAGTCACAGGGGCCTTTCGGTTATTCAAATGCTAGTTCAAATGCTGCGCAAACAGTAACCTGATCATGAGCCTGCTGCTAACGAAGCTGCTCATGAGTTGGGAGGATATTGGAGCTGATCACTCCGACGTTCTTCTCTTGAAGGGCTAAGGCGCTCCTGCAGATGTGAGCGGTCGTCGTCATCCTGTCGCGGTCGTCCGCCTTGCAAAAATTTCGAGATCCTTGGATGTCGTGGTGGTTTCGTGGTCACACCGTCTTACATACTTCTACCTTGACTTCTTAAACTTTCATACCTAGGTGGGCGTGTGGCAAGTGGCTTTCAGTTCCGTATGCATTTCCCGAGCGTGTGCCGGTGGCAGGCGCAGGGAGTCGTGAGGTGGCGATGTTGGGTCAAGGTCGAGGCCGTTGTTTGTGCCATGTGGGCTGGCGTGTCAGCTGTGCCATTTTTAGGGTTTGGACTGCGAAACTGCTTGGCGGGGCCTGCGCAATGTTTCGCTCTGGTGAGGTTTGCTGTCTGCCAACGTGTGGACTTGCAGCAACAAATCATTGCCTGGCCGTTTGTCACAAACAGCAAGTGGAAACCACGTTTGGGTGCACGGCCTTGGCGATGGAAGCAGAGCACGCCCAGCATTCGCCCCAGCGTGGTGGCAGCCTCTGGTTCGGCAGGGGTGCGTAGCAAGGTTTTGGCGGCACGCCCGTCCTGACTGTACCTTGTTAAGCCGTGCTTACGATGGTGATGTGCTCCGCCGGTCTGCAGAGAAATTGTTCCAACAAAGTTCCGTCGAAAC